TCTGGGCTGCTGTGAGGACGCGGGCTCTTGCTGCTCTCTGTTCTAGCCATTGCTTGGCTGATTCTGCCGCGAGATGGATTTCTTGCTGATCTGGCAACGCCATCTCGTCTCCCTCTCCTTTTTTGTTGGCGTGCCTCGGAGAAGACGGATGATGGTCCGTTGATGCCCAAATTAAGGAGAATTTTTTTAAAAGATTATTTTAAAAAAGAAGAAATTTTCTAAATAAACCTATTCATATTTTTTTTCTAAAAATAGGCCCCTTGAGTTTTATTTACAAAAATAGACTCTTTTCATCTTAATCCGGTTCCTAAATAGTCGGGGTTGCCAACCGCGACTATTTAGGAGGTTGTAAACCCCCAATTATAACCCTAAACCCTAACATTCTATGCACTAAATAGTCGGGGTTGGCAACCCCGACTATTTAAAAACCGGATTAAGACAAAATGGGTTGGTTTTTGTAAAAAAAACTCAAGGGGTCTATTTTAAAAAAAAAATTATGAATGAGTTTGTTTAGAAAATTTCTTCTTTTAAAAAAATATTTAAGAGAAACGACATTTCTACAAAACAATTAGCAAAATCAACATCTTTTTTGCCAGCTCATCAATGCGGACCAAAATGTGATTGGTTTTACAAAATTTAGTATTGAAAAAACATGAGATTACAAGTCATATGTGTTTGGCATTTGCTAATCACCTCGTAGACACAAACCTTAAACTCAATCATTCCTCCCCCTTCCTCCTCCTTAGTTCATCTCCAACGCAGCGGTAAAATGCTGCAAACAGTGCATTTGCCGCTGCGTTTCTTCTCCAATCGAGCCGTATTTCTTGCGACATTTTAGCGAATTTGAACAGTCCGTTCGATGCCCAAATTAAGGAGAAATTTTTTTTAAAGATTATTTTTAAAAAAAAATTAGGAAAAACAACATTTTTACTAAACAATTAGCAAAATTAATTTTTTTACAGCTCATCAATGCGGACCAAAATGCGTTCGATTTTACAAAATTTAGTATTAAAAATACATGAGGAGATTACTAATCACGTGTGTTTAGCATTCGTTAATCACCTCCTAAACACAACCTTAAAAATACACGAGACTAGGTAGTGTGATTAGGGGTGTCCATCCGGGCCGGACCGGGCTGGGCCGGCCTAGAAAACCGGGCTCGGGCAAAATCGGAGCCTGAGGCTGGGCCCGGGCCGACCCAAATTTTTTTCATTTTTTTCTCTTATCTCTTTTTTTTTGCTAAAAATTAGTATATGCTAAAAATTGTTAAAAATTAGTTTAACCTTATTATATTTATATAATTATGTATTAGTATATACTACAAATTATTATGTAACAATGTATTATATACACATATATTAATATGTAAATATATTATATATATTTATAAGTTATAATATGAGAGAGAGAGAGAATCACATAAATGTATATTACATATTTATAAATATGTATTATGTAGTTATGTATGTATTTGTTACATACTTACATTATGCTTATTTAAGTATAATTATACAATTTACTTATATGATATAATTTATATATACTAGATGCTTATATATTATTATTCTTATGTAGTTATGTATGTATTTGTTACATATTTACATTATGCTTATTTAAGTACAATTATACAATTTACTTATATGATATACTTTTATATATACTAGATGCTTATATATTATTATACTTATGCAATTATACAATATACTTATATAACTGTAATTCTATAATATACACATATGACATATAAGTATACTTATAACTACATTATATATATATATATATATATATATATATATATATATATATATATATATTATATATATAATATATATATATATATATATATATATATATATATATATATATATATATATATATATATATATTTATATTCTTATTACATTAGTATCTGTATCTATACGATTATACCGTCCTAAGAGTATATATATATATATATATATATATATATATATATATATATATATATATATATATATAATATATATATATATATATATATATACACTTATAAGTTATAACATGAGAGGGAGAAAATCACATAAATGTATATTACATATTTAGAAATATGTACTATGCTAAGAGTATTATAATATATATATATATTATATATATATATATATATATATAGAGAGAGAGAGGAGAAGAGAGAGAGAGAGAAAATGGAGAAACTTGGTACCAATTTGCTCCAAACAACTTGGTAATGATGTGGCATAATCTTGTCCCTACATCTACATTGGAGTTTGTGAAGGTAGTTGAGGCCTCTATTTTTGAGGTGTGATGTAGGGGCAAGATTATGTCACATCATACCAAGTTGCTTTAAGCAACTTGGTACCAAGGTATACATAGGTTCTCCATTTTTCTCATATATATATATATATATATATATATATATATATATTATATATATATATATATATATATATATATATATATATATATATATATTATACATGTATAGACTTATAAAAAATATATATATATAATATTAAAAAAATAAAAAAAACTATTCCGGGTCGGGCCGGGCGCCGTCGAGGCGGCCCGGCCGGGGCCAGAACCCGATTTTGGCGCGGCCCAAGCTCATGCCAGAACCGAGTTTGACCCGAGTTTCCGGGTCAACCCGGGCCGGGCCGGCGGGCTGAATGGACAGGCCTAAGTGCGGTCATAGAAAAGGTAAAAGAAAAGAAAGCCAAAAGAGAGAGCTAGATAGCTAGCTGCTGGTTTCTCATTTCATCCCCTTCTTCTCCCAAAACATAACTGTTCTCTCTCGTGGAATCGAAATGAATAAGGGCATCCATCATCAGCTGAGATCTATCTGGTCTCTTCCAAAACATAAATGTTGGAATTAATTAAAAGTTTGAGTTCTTATATGCAAATATGATTTGTTGAGGGGTACATTTGCATAATGTTTATTCCTTATCCTCATATGAAACACTTCCTCTTATGTAACACTTTACCCTTCTCCGCTCTTTCCTTCTCCGCTCTTTCCTCTTTTCTTCCGAGCGAAAATCTCTCCCTACAATAACATCGGCGTCTTCTCCGCGACAGCGGAAATCTCTCCCGGGGTAACGTCAGCGTCTTCTCCGGCCTTATCAACTACAACGGAAAATTCTCAATGGCTATTAAAAGGGGATCTCAGACAACTATGAAGAACAAGAAAGAAAAGAAAAACAATGAGCAATTCTCAATCTCTCTCTCACAATTCTCTATAATATTTCGATTTCTGATTTTAATTTTGGGCAAACATCCATTGAGCAAGAGATCAAAGTTTCGCAGTAAACTTTGGTGTCGGCTTTCTCGGGGGGTTCTTACCGCTAGACGTAGTTGCATCAAATCGTCTCTGCGAAGGCGGCGACTATTGTTCTAGGGCAGTGATCACACGATTACCCCTTCTCAGGCCTGCGTTTTCTAACCCTCTTTCTAATTCTTTTGATTATTTGCAGTGTGTTTTCTAACAATCTAGAACAATAGTCACATTATATTCATTCTGTTTCAAATAATAAATCTAAAATTTTGTGTTCTATCATCCTTTTTGCCTAATTTCTGATTTTCTAATCTCTAATTCTAACTGTTGCATTTCTGTAATTTACTCTCATCAATTTTGCTCGCTGTCTAATATTATTTATTCTTTGTTTTTAAGCATCAGATGCTAAATAATATGTTGCTTTGCCTATTGTTAAACCTCTGCGAAGGCGGCGACTATTGTTCTAGGGCAGTGATCACACGATTACCCCTTCTCAGGCCTGCGTTTTCTAACCCTCTTTCTAATTCTTTTGATTATTTGCAGTGTGTTTTCTAACAATCTAGAACAATAGTCACATTATATTCATTCTGTTTCAAATAATAAATCTAAAATTTTGTGTTCTATCATCCTTTTTGCCTAATTTCTGATTTTCTAATCTCTAATTCTAACTGTTGCATTTCTGTAATTTACTCTCATCAATTTTGCTCGCTGTCTAATATTATTTATTCTTTGTTTTTAAGCATCAGATGCTAAATAATATGTTGCTTTGCCTATTGTTAAACGAATGACAGAATAAGGTTTATAAAAGCATCAAATGTTTAAAAGGTTCTTGCTTTATCTATTTGAACATTGTTAAAATATCCTGCTACTTTTTTTTCCTAGTCCAACTTGGAACAGAGTTGCACGAAGGCCCTGAACATTGTTAAAATATCCTGCTACTTTTTTTTCCTAGTCCAACTTGGAACAGAGTTGCACGAAGGCCCATTTGCAAGGCCCATTTAAGCATAATATTTTTTTCCTAGTCCAACTTGGAACAGAGTTGCACGAAGGCCCATTTGCAAGGCCCATTTAAGCATAATATCTTCATGTCTATGTCTCTAAACTAAATTGTTACTAGCATTACATTTTTATTTGGTTTGTGAAACATAAGCAGTTATACCATTGTGCATATTAACTGTGCATTATATTAAGTTTTGAGTTACTGCAAAGTTGCTTGTCCTTTGGAAAACGTATTATTTGCTTTTAATAATCTATATTCATTTGATATTGTATTACAAAGTAATTTTGTAGTTCTCTATATTTTCAATATATTCAGTTTGCATATAGCTTCATATATATCCATTTTGATAGCATATCATTGTGAGCTTTAAGTTTTCTTCATTTTGTGAACCATTGTCATATAGTTCTAAGTCTATATCTCACAAACAAGTTCTTTTCTCAAATCCTTTGAATCATCAAGACTAGCAATTTTTATATTTAGATTTTATGGCTAATACCGATCTATCTAAGTCAGCCAAGCCTGAGAAGTTCACCGGTTTGAACTACAAACGGTGGGATAATCAGATGAAATATTAGCTTACAACTTCAGGACTTATTTCTGCTATTGACTCGGGATTTTTCCTTATCAACACCTACACCCTCTTCATCATCACAAGCTGAACCTACCTCCACACCTACCACAATATCCGGAATTTCTAAATCTTCTGAGGAAATAAACTTTCATTGTTACAACCGAATCCTTAGTGCTCTTTCAGACAAATTGTATGACATTTATTATGAGTATAAAGATGCAAAAGATTTGTGGGTAGCACTAGAGTCTGAATATGGTTTAGATGATGCTGGTATAGAATGTTTTTCCTCCTCCTCCTTTAATAAGTTTGTTATGATAGACAGTAAACCTATCAATGATCAACTCCATGAGTTTCAAGACTACATCCGATACCTTCAGTTGAAAGGAAATACTTTCTCTAAAGAATATAAGGTATCTAGTCTTATTGATAAACTTCCTCCTTCTTGGTCAGACTTTGCTAAAGATCTCTGTCATCTACAGGGTGACTTGACTCTTGTACAAGCCCTCAAAGGTATTAGGATAGAGGATCAACATAGGCAAAACTCCAAACCAAAAAATGAAATGAAAGCAAAAGTAAACCTAGTGGAAGAAAAGTCTAATAACTTTAGAAACCCAAATCACAAACCCAAGGGCAATAATTTCAAGAAGAAGAATCATTCTCATCATCCTAACCAACATTCCAATCTCTCTAGAAACCACAAACCTTTTAGCCAAAAGTCTGAGACTAAATTTTGCTATGTCTGTGGGAGAACTAATCATCTTTCGACTCAATGCTACTACCGAAAGAAAGCTCCTATCAAGACTCTTGTAGGTGGAAAGGGTGAAGAAGCAAGTCATAGGGTCAACATGGTAGAATATAACTCAGACTCCTTTAGGTTAGCTTCCTCTTCTTATGTAGTAAATTGTACCACTTTTTCTGATGACTGGTGGTTGGATTCTGGAGCAAATATTCACATTTCTTCTAATCGATCTTGGTTTTCAACTTATCAGGAATCAAGTGGAGGGAGTGTAATTCTAGAAGATGACTCGACTAGACAAGTAATGGGAAGTGGACGTGTGGACCTAAAAATGACTTCCGGAAAGATTTTGACTCTCCACAATATCGTACATGTACCATTACTTAGAAGAAATCTGATTAGCGAATCTGTTTTATTGAAAGTTGGATTTAGAATTGTTAAAGAGTCAAATAAGTTTGTAATTACCAAGAATGATATATTCATTGGTAAAGGTTTTGTTTGTGATGGTCTTTTTAAGTTAAATGTAATAAGATCTTCTGATAATAAAAGTTCTTCTTCCATAATCTTAAATGTTGAATCTTGTGACAAATGGCATGGAAGGTTAGGACACATAAACTATGGAACCATTAGAAAAATGGCATCCATGAACTTGATACCCAAAACCAGGATAGTGTTGGCATTCTTGTTTTGATGATGTTTAACAAACAATTTACCACTAATGTTGTTTGTCTAGTATTTGTGTTTTCTTATTTATTATAGACAAACAACGTAGTTGGAGGATGGATGGATTGCGCCATAACGATCATATCCAATGGAGGTTGGCGGAATTGTGGAGTGATCCGCAAGTGTACCAAGTCAAGCTTATTGAAGATCAAGATTGCTTGGGTAATGTAGTTTTAGATTTTATATTATGTGTGTTATATACTCTAAGCTCAATATCTATACACACACATTTATTGGTTTCTTCGTATATATATATATATATATATATATACATAAGTTTTGGTTTCTATGCATATATATACTTATATATATACATACATAGTTTTTGAGTTTTCATGTTTATAATATGAAATCACATATTTCATATTTACTATTGTGTTTTTGAAAACATTGCATAGAATATGCAATTTTATTGTGAAAATATTGTGAATCTTAGTTTGTAGACATGAATAATTAGGTTATACATGTTTTACTAAGTATATAAAAACATTTCACAAAGTTTCAAAAGTTGGTTTATGTCAAAACATCAAAATTCAAGTATCTCATATTTTCATGTTTTGGACTATTTTGTAAATGATGATATTTTTCATTTGGGAGGTCCTTTCTGATAACCAGCTCACTTAGCATGTTTATTATCATGTCTACAATCATTCCCCAAAGTTTACATTTTTTTGGAATTTATTTGATATTTTTAAACAGTGTTTTAATCAGCATATCAATTTCCTGCATATCCAGTTTTCCGGTCGACCGCACCGGATCGGTACCGATCATATTGTTCATTTCTTACCATGCCCGACAGCAAGAGATTGGATCGGCGACCGCGTCCGGTCGACCGAAAGCTCCATCGGTCGACCGCCACGGTCGACGACGATTGGTCCAGGCTGATTCTTCGTATTTTTTGCTCTGGCGTCGACCGACGAAATTTCCGGTCGACCGACTATATGACTGTTGCTTTTTTCAACGGCTATTTCCTGAGCTGTTTGCTGGGCTGTTTTGTCATTTGGTTGGTTTTTGTTGATATCTTGAGTGGGTATAAATACCCAATTGCTGATCTCTTTCAAGCAATCAGTAATGATGAAAAAGAAGTTTTTAAACAAGTTTTAAACAAGGGTATAAAGTGTGTTTAAGGGTTTGTTTTGTTTGTGAAGAAGTTTTCACAAGTGGAGGAGATCATCTTCTTGTTTGGGCTTCAATCTCCATCTCTCCATCTTGTTATTCAGAGAAGAATCTCTAAACTCATTTCTAGCTATTTATTATTTTGTTTATAATTTCTATATGCTAGATTTTAATTGAGTTTAGTTTTGATTTTGATTTCACTCATTGTTTACACACACCCACTTGAGCTTATTGTATTTGCATTCATAATATATTAGGGTTGTGAGAGTTGTAACATTGAGTGTGGGCTTTTATTGTGTTCTCATCCATATTAGAGAACAATTTATATTTGTTACATTGTGAGATTGTTAGGTTTTCGGTGAGCTAGAAACCGAGTGTGTTGTGAAGTTTTCGGTGAACTAGAAAACCGATTGTGAGGAGTGACGTTGATCGGTGAGCGTTGAAAACCGATACTGTGAGGTGTAAACGTTATTCGGGTGAACGTAGAAAACCCGGTTGTGATAGTGGATTTCTCCCCGGGAGTGGGGAGCGGAGACGTAGGACGGAAGGTCCGAACTCCGTGATCATATTGTTTGTTTGAGTTTGTCTTTGGCGTATTTGTTTTTGCATTTATCTTATATCGCCAATTGTGCATTACTCATTTATTTCACCCACTATCTTGTTTAGATTATTTACCATTGTGTTGTTTATACATCCTTGCATATATATATAATTCATCATATAGGATATATCTCATTGTTTACATTGCTTATCCTAGCTCATATATCTTGTGGTATTTCATACTTGCTAGGATAACTTATTAATTAGTTTTAATTGGCATTTAATCGGATTAGATTAGCATAAGACCCTAATCACCCCCCCCTCTAGGGTCTAACAGATAGATCCACCTTCTAAGTGTGAGATATGTGTTCAAGCTAAAACCATTAGAAAACCTTTCCACTATATTCATAGAGATTCTTCTAAGTGTGAGATATGTGTTCAAGCTAAAACCATTAGAAAACCTTTCCACTATATTCATAGAGATTCTGAACCTCTAGAACTCATACATAGTGATGTTTGTGATTCAAATAGAATTCTTACTAGGGGAGGAAGAAGATACTTTGTAACATTCATAGATGATCATTCAAAGTATTGTTATACATATCTTCTCAAAACTAAAGATGAAGTCTTAGAAAAGTCATAGATGATCATTCAAAGTATTGTTATACATATCTTCTCAAAACTAAAGATGAAGTCTTAGAAAAGTTCAAGATATATAAAGCAGAAGCTGAGAATCAAATTGAGAAGAAAATCAATATCCTAAGATCGGACCGTGGGGGGGAGTATACCTCAAATAACATGATCGAATATTGCTAAGAACATGGTATTATTCATGAGGTGACTGCTCCCTACACACCACAATCCAATGGAGTTGCTGAAAGAAAGAATAGAACTCTCATGGATATGGTGAGTTGTATGCTTCTCAGCTTAGGAGCACCTAAAAACCTATAGGGTGAAGCACTCCTATCTGCTTGCTACATTCTTAATAGAGTACCTCACAAAATATCTGATATCTCTCCCTATGAACTTTGGAAGGGTAGAACACCTAGAATAGATTATCAAATATCTGATATCTCTCCCTATGAACTTTGGAAGGGTAGAACACCTAGAATAGATTATCTTAAGGTTTGGGGATGTCTAGTTTGGAAGGGTAGAACACCTAGAATAGATTATCTTAAGGTTTGGGGATGTCTAGCTAAGGTAGGGATACATGAACCTAAGAAGAGAAAAATTGGTTCAAAAACTATAGATGCTGCAATTATTAAATATGCATTAGATAGCAATGCAAACCGATTTTTAGTAGTCAACTCAGATATTAGTGATATAACCAACAACACTATTATTGCGGCTCGAGATGCTGTATATTTTGAAGATATATTCCCTTTCAAGACTAGGATTCCTAGTGAGTCCTCTGTTAGCACACTTCTTCTAGATTTGCCTCATCTTCTAGTACTCCACAGTCGATAGAAGTAGAACCCAGAAGAAGCAAGAGAGGAAGAATCAAAAAAAACTTCGGAGAAGAGTTCTTCAAATTTTTGGTTGAAGGTGATCCAAACACATACCAAGAAGCCATGGATTCTTCTGAAGCTCTTTTTTGGAAAGAAGCAATAGATAGTGAAATTAAATCTATTATATAAAATAATACTTGGGTTTTAACTGACTTACCTCCAGGATGTAAACCAATTAGTTGTAGATAGATTTTCAAGAAGAAATTAAGACCTTATGGAACCATTGAGAAATATAAAGCTAGACTAGTAGCAAAAGGGTATACTCAAAAAAAGGGTATTGACTTTTTTGATACATACTCCCCTGTAGCCAGGATTTCAACTATTAGAGTCCTTCTAGCATTAGCTTCTATTCACAAGATGATTATTCACCAAATGGATGTTAAGACCGCTTTCTTAAATGGCGATCTCAGAGAAGAGATTTATATGGACCAACTAGAAGGGTTCATAGCCAAAGGTCAAGAAAGAAAGTTCTGCATATTGATGAAATCTCTATATGGGCTTAAACAAGCTCCTAAACAATGGCATAAAAAATTTAACAAAATTATTACCGAATATGATTTTTCTATCAATGAGTTTGATAAATGTGTTTACTCAAAAGTTATTCACAATGATTGTGCCATCTTGTGTTTGTATGTAGATGATATTCTTATCTTTGGGACTTCAATCGAAGTCATTCTAGAAGCTAAAAATTATTTCTCAAAGAATTTTGACATGAAAGATCTTGGAGAAGCTGATTTGATTCTTGGAATGAAAATCTCCAAAACTTGAATTTTGACATGAAAGATCTTGGAGAAGCTGATTTGATTCTTGGAATGAAAATCTCCAAAACTTCTAAAGGCATTTCTTTGGAGAAGCTGATTTGATTCTTGGAATGAAAATCTCCAAAACTTCTAAAGGCATTTCTTTGAGTCTATCCCATAGCATAGAGAAAATATTAGAGAAATTTGATTTTCATAAGTGTAAACCTATGAGTACACCTTATGATTCCTCAATCACCTTGAATAAACATGATTGAGAACCTATATCCCAACATAGATATTTACAATTGATAGGTTCTTTTCTTTATGTGACAAACCGAACTAGACCTGACATTGCTTATGCGGTAGGTAGACTAAGTAGATACACTAGTAACCCAAGTCAGGAACATTGGAATGCATTAGAAAGAGTCTTTAGATATTTGAGAGGTACAACAGACTATTGTTTAACTTTTTCTGGATACCCTGATGTGATTGAAGGGTATAGTGATGCTAATTGGGTCACTGATTCTGACAATGTGAAGTCTACTTATGGATTTATTTTTATGCTTGGCAGTGCTGCTATATCTTGGAAATCTTGTAAACAAACAGTGATTGCCAGAAGCACCATAGAGTCTGAACTTATAGCTTTAGATTCTTGCTGCTCAGAAGCTGAATGGTTAAAAAAACCTTATATTTGAACTCCCTTTTGTGTATGGACCTATTCCTCCTATATCTATTCATACAGACTCCAGATCCACTATAGAACTTTTAAAATAAAATACCATCAATAAAAAAATTAAACATACATCTGCAGATAAGATTTAAATCTATGCAGAACCTTATGGGAAAATATGTTACCTTGAATTTTGTAAAGTCAGAGGAAAATTTGGCAGACCACTTGACAAAGGGTCTATCTAGGAGTGCAATCCTAGAATCATCGAGGGGAATGGGGTTAAGCCCATAGTAGAGTTCACTGACAGCGGGAACCCAACCTTTGATTGATGAGTTATTCTAATGGAAAAGGTTCAATGTGG